TTTTTCCCGCTCCTTCATAACTCAATGATGGATCAAAACTGCGTTGACAGAGAAAGAGATTCCATCATTTAAGGGCAAATATATAGGTTATGAAGAATATCCATTGTCTGGCAGTACATTTGATGGTGAGTGGTTCTTCAACAAAATCATCAACATCAATCGATCTCAGGAAAAGCAAGGAAAAAACAAACAAATAAAAGATATGAATATGTCATTATGCAAACATAAGAAGATGAATAAATCAATGAACTAAGTTTCTGCCAGTCACTTTTGTTTGCTAAACTAAATTTCTCGGTGGCTTAAAGGACGCTTTCTTACCACTTGATAACAGTTGTTTGAGGGCTGACATTGCCTTTTTAATGTATCTATTGTATCATTACCAGAAGTGTGGCCGGGCAATGACTAAAAGCCATAAAACATCTTTTTTGACCTTCTTCGTTTTCTTTTAATACAAATATAAAGAGAAATCTTTTGTGATTTAAAAAGAATGGGTAGAATGAAATAAGCATTTTTAAGAATTTTGGGGATCTATAAAATGCAAAAAGCGAACCCATGAGATCATTCAAAAGGAAACAATACTTTGTAGATGGTCTTACACCAATGTTCGAGGTGGTCTAAACCAGAAAGGCCAAAATTGGTCAGGAGAGCGGCACAAGTTTAATTGACGTTTATCAAATAAACAGAAGACTACTAGAAGGAAAGTACAAACAACAGCAAAGGCTCTTATAATTACTTGAAGAGAAAAAGGATCCAACCAATACCTTGATTTCCACATATGTTCTGGTGCTGCAATCTTGGCAGTACTGTTGTCTTCAATGCTTGTTACAACAGATTTTGAAATTTCTTCTGCTTCCAATGTAAAATTCGAAATTAATGATGAAAGGAATGGATCAGTGGCTGCACTAGACACATTAGAACTGCTTGATCGATAACCACCACCTCCTAGAAGCACTTGCAGGTGAGCCTCTCGCAGATCTCTGCCTAGGAGAGACAACGTTTGGCTATTAGGAATTCCAACCCTACGTAATCTTCGACGTCGCTGCAAGTTATCATCAGTTAAAGGAAACTTGGAATTTCAATATTTTTTTAAAAAATAAATAACAACTCTAGAGTTATAAAAATGCATATTATATCAATCATATTTATTGATGGGGAAAAACAACAATGCAAGGATATCTTGAACAAGTGCCCATGTTGCAGCGAGACATGACTGAGCATGTCCCCAGCAACTTTGACAGAACAAATGGGACAAACCTGCAAGAATGTGAATACAACATGAGACTAGTTCACCATGAAAGATTCAATAGAAATAAGAAAATATGTCGTGCATATCAGGCCTCCTAAGAGTCCAAAGGTCAAAGAATCAAAGGTATATAGATGTTCTCTTCTCAAGCATTGATATCACTTTTAGCTGTAAAAGAAATGTTTTGAGCTTCTATTTTCTAAATCTCGTATATGTTTGCATATAAAAGTATGTCTGGTTGTTGTAATTGAAAACAGGATTTGGAAAATTATAAAATATGGCATGCATTTGAAATAATAGAGAGTTATTTTCAAACTTACACCATATTTTCATTAGTACTTCCAGAATCCTGTTTTTATCTTTGATAACAATATATCTTTCTGAGTATAAACACATAATTTAGAAAGTGAAAACTCAAAGTTCAGCAGAAACTTTCTTTCTTTTCCCTTTAAATTGATCCATTCGGAATTGAAAAGCTGCATAAATTATGTAGCAAACATATTCTTGCTTAATAAGAATTAAATAAGAAGAGACTGCACTAAAAAATTACTTAACAAGCAAGTCTTCCTAAAATCTAAAAAATATTTCCCCTAAAAAAATAATCTAAAAAATTGCGAAGTTCCAATAAGGCAAGGATCCTAAAATGCTCAATAGTTCTGCTAGGGAATAATTGTCCTTCCAAGACCAGAAGAAGGAAACTAACCCTTGCCTCAGCCTTTTGACATCCTTTCCAAATATTTCAAAGGGATCAAATATACACGAAAAGAGCTCACAGAACATGCTTAAGTCTTCCTTGAATTTAACAAATTGGTTATATCGCTTTTCTTGTTGACACATAACACAGGATCATACATTATATAAGACATAATATACTTCATTTAGAACATCCCTTAAAAAATTGACAACAATAAATAAATAACTAAATACAATAGTCGTATAAGCATAGGAAGGAACTGTAGAAGGAGTTTATCTGATGTAGACCATCAAACAGAAAGGAGAACAAGAAAACAGATTGCTAGAGCATTCATGCAGAATGAACAAACATAACAGAAAGTGCAAATTCATCAATAACTATTTCTGAAGGGGGGGCTTGACCATGTCGGAAGTGCCCTGGTGAGTGTCTTCTCACCATAATGCTCTTATTGTGCATTTTCTGCTTCCCTAAATAAAGCATATTAGACAAAGATGGGTGCCTAAAAAGAAGGAAGCTAAGTAGAATTTAGCACGACTAGATTTATCTGAACTCTCAAAGAAGGAGCTACATGTTTACCTAAAGTTTGATGCATGTAAACTTTACACGTCAGGAATGTGGGAGAAAATTTGTGTTATATTCTTCCCAGTAAAATGATGGAATCTAACATATGCAAGGCATGAAACAGAATTCTAACAGATGAAAGAAAAAAGGCCATTGTCTCCATAGTCTCTGTCACAATGAAAAGAGACAAATAGTGTCTACAGTGAGATATACATGCCTCTCACCTTGTTCATATCATATAAAACTTCATTACTTCACTAACTCCAACATCTGTAACTTATATCCTTATAACTTCTTTAACAAATTAATTTCACTCTTAGGAAGTTATCTTCCTTCTTTTGTTTTTTCATGGCACACAACAAACATAAATTTTAGCAACAACTTATTTTATCATAAACATAAAATAGAACACATAAAAATGAGAATTCCAAGGCTATCCAAAAGGTGTATCGACACTCAACATGCAATCTATGAAAATAGATAAGGAAACATACAAATTATAAAGCTTTATTAACAATCAAGGATTCTAGCGATTTTGGGTGGTCTCAGATAAAAGAAATAAAAGAGCTTTTAAGGGGGTAACTGAAGATATTGATTCTGACATTGTTAGTAATAGATGGTTCCACACTCTTGATTTTGTTTATATTTTGAGTCATCCTTTATAGTCAATGAAGGGTTTTGAGAACTTTATTGATATATTGATAAACTTTTAAATTCTTTGTACATGGGTCAGCACCCCCTTGGTGCCGGTTTTTAACGATAGTTTAATACTTCTATTAAAAAAGAAAAAAACAGAATCAAGGATTCTAGCTTCTCTCAACAGATCCAACAAGCCAAGACCTTTAATTTCCATGTCGAAGTAAAAGGCTGAATATATTTCACTATGAAATATACAACCATGGTCCCCCTTTTTGCAAAAGGAAAGCCACAATTTTAAATCTTCCACAAAGAAATATACGAAAATTAACACATAAACCAACACAAAAAAGAAGGGTTAGGATTACCACGGACTGAGAAAGAAGCATACAAAAATTTACTAAACCGAACACCATCCTCAAACACAATCAAAAGATCATAACAACGAAACGAATAAGCTATTAACAGAGAAATGATTATCAAAATTTACAAAGGGGTATATTATTAATAAAAAAAATAAAACTAAAAGAAGCGAAAAGCAACTCACCGTCACCTTTGACTCACACGAGTGCTCATCTTCAAGGTGGGAACACAGAGAGACGATGTCAAAATCCTCGAAGCAATATGGGCACGGGAAGTCGGGTCGTACATCATCTTCAACCTCGAAATCATCTATGCTCCATCGATCTATTCATAAACATCAACGAAAAAGTTGATAAAACGAGTAACCCATTTAAGATATATATATATATATATCGACAAAGCTAACAGAGAAGATATAATAAATTATAATATATATATATATATACATATACATATAAACGGACGGAAAATGAAACAAACCCAAGTGAGAGCGCTGATGATGGTGCTGCAAGGTGTATTGTCGTTTTGCAGCTGCGAGTCGAGAGGTCCAGAAATCGGAATCCATCAAGGATCAACAGAGATTGACCTGCCGTTTTCGATATTAATTTTTGGGTTACTATTAAATATCAATACTTTTCACCTTCAAAAAAAAAAGTCAACAGATTGAGAAATGAACGGAAAAAGAAATTCTCTTGCAACGTCTTGTTGTGTTGTACGTTTACTTTTTCCGGGTTGTTGCGGTTTTTCTGTTTTAAGGTGCTTAAGCTTTGATCTGGAGAAGATGGAGCTATTGGGACGAAGACAGAGAGAGAGAGAGAGAGAGAGAGGTGAAAGATTCTATGGATGATGATATCAATACAAAATGAACTGTAAAAATAAGAGAGATGTGGAGAAGAGAAGAGAACTGTGAGGAAAAGTCGGGCTTTTCCTCTCCTTGTTCCCACAGGATTTTGCTTTTGTGGTATTTATTCTATCCTCTTGTTTTCTCATTTTGTGGGCTGTTAATTTTGTTTTTGTTTTTCTCCTTTTTTTCCTTTTCCTTTTTAGATTTTCTTTTTTCTTAAATTAAGGGTTTTGTTTTTCCTCTTTAAATTAGATTTTTTTTTTTATAATTAAGGGATGGATTATATATTAATTAGAAAGATTAATTACACAAAGAGAGAAATTAAACATAGGGAGATTTTCTTCAATAACTCATTTGGGAACATTGAATATAGATTCATAAGGATCCATTTTAAGGTACATGAATGAAAATGTTGTGTGAGAACAAATTTTCCTTCTTAGAAATTTAGTTAAAAGTCCTTTAATTAAATCTATATAAAAAATATCTAATTTTCATAACTAGATTTTCAAAAGCCTAATAAAGAGTATTGGTCGAAGGCAAAATGTCGTAACCAATAACAATAAGATTTTGCATCTTAACCCGCTTACTATGATCTATCCAAACTCAATTTTGTATTTTTCTTTTTTTGTTTGAGTTCAACTTTGAATTATGTCGGGTTCGGATTGATAGGAAAAAAAAAAAAAGTTAGGGCAGATTTGGAATTTAGCTTTTGAAAATTTATACAAACTCGATCCATTAAATATATATGTATTTATTTTTATCAAATATACTGTAAAATTATATTTATATTAATATAATAAAATGATCAAATTAAATTTGTATGGGATAACTAGTAAATTCTAGTGACATAAAAAATTATTAAAAAAAATTCATTGAAGATAATTCAAGTTCAAATTTGATAAAAAA